GTCCTGACCCTGAATCCCAAAGTAATTTGCAGATCCCAACTGCGCATCAAAGGTGGGATCTTTGGCTCCCCAGATGTCACGGATGACGGTCAAATCAGCGATGCTCATCGTCCCAAATCGACGTTCTGGAATGTTGGAGGTGTTGAGGTTGTACGTCAATCCTAGCAAGGCCACGAGGATTTGCACCACGAGGTTGATTCCAAGCCACAAGACACAAAGCAACTGCGTCGTGTTAAGCCAGAACCAGGCTCTTCCTGGAGTCCTTGCAGTCAAAAATAATCGAGCCACCTTTCGCAAACTGTCACAGCGCAACAATAAATCGAATTCTTTCAAAGGCCGGTATTTCTCTGTCAGAATTCTCCACCGCATCATCATGGCGTATTCTCGTAGTGAGCTGGTCAAGTTGTTCCCGAGAAACAGCGAAAGAAGCACAATGAGGGCGTTGAAGGCTTTGACTTGTGTTACCGTCATCCACAAGAGGTTTCCAAAGACTCCGAGGCAGAGAGCTAAGAGGCCGCACAGCAGCAGCGTGAGGAACCATTGCCAGAGGCCCACAGCCAACAGCCGGCGACGTTGGCGGTCAGGTTTGAATTCTCGTGTTGTCCGCGATGCGAACCCTAACCCATCGGTTGAGACTGAGTGCCTCCATGGTTGTCGTAGTCGAGGAGGCCCGAACTTGGGGTAGGACCGACTGGAACTTGGCGAAGGAAGGCTGTTGGTAAAGGTCAAAGGATCTTGCGATACCTCTGAAATCGGCTGAAGAGGGGGCTTTTCCATATGGCTGGATAGCAGGCATGAGACATTATCTGAATGGGCCACAGAGACAATTTATCGGAATGATAAAGGTGGGATGTCGTGGTCTTGAAGCATCTGTGCCATCTGGGGTCGAGCGGCGTTGGGGGGCGTGGCATGACTGGCGATAAACGACACAACAGAGTTTTGCTTCTCTGGGAGTCTCAAGAGGGGGGAGAATTTCTTGTCCTTGGATCGTGACCAGTCAATCGAGTGTACCAAGACGTGGAAGTGGTGCCCGCCGGCGGTCGAGACCCGAAATGCCCAAAAGAGAGCAGCAGCTGGAAGAATAAGAACAATATTGAAAAGCTTAACAGCGGGTGCAGTTCCTTGTTCAAGCCAAGCTGATAGGGCGACCCCGGAGGGGGTTGGATGAGCGAACTGGGTTTTTAGCTTCTCGCTATTCTCTGACGGAGACCATGGGATTCCTCTTTCATGATAGGCCGATGTATATTTCACATGTTCTCAGATCCAATTTTCGTCTCGAACTGTATCGCGGGGTCACAGGTACGCGTAAGGGTAAGAGACTATGCATCATTGACTGTGATCAGCATCTGGGCATTGATGACTTGGGCCGCGCTGTTGACTTTCTCACCGTGGAGAAGGACCCAACAAATTGACGATTCACATGCCATGATGCGGTCTGTTGAAGAGGTGAAAGTACGAATATAAGATGGGGTTGTTGAATCCATAAACAAACAGTGGCTTGAAGAGAAATGTGTACTTGATAGGGTTACAGGTTGACAGGTTGACATCAGCCTTGGTGGCCTGGTGCTGGTGCTGGTACAGAGATGAGTCTTCGCCTGCGTTTGCACCTCAGACTGCGACTGCGCCAAGCTTCGAAGCCTGCCACCTGCGAACCTGATCTTCACCATCTCAAACATCACCACCGTTCATGATTGTCTCCTACACTGTATGCCCATTACGGACATTAGAGCCAACTCACAATCCTGTGTTGTGACGTTGTCGACCTATTACACCTTCCTTTGGAGCCCTTGAAAACAGGAGGGATAAGAGATGCTGTGCTCATATTGTGTTCTCGACCATTCACAACTCAGAGAAAACAGGAGCTTACTATCAAATTGATAGAAGCTGGCCAGATCCTTTCCATGCAGGACTGGGCAGTCTTCTGACACAATCGCTGAGCCCTAGGTTGGTTGTGCGCGACTTTTTTCCTTTAGATGGAACTTCCCAGAGATTCGAGCCGATAGCCGCTAGATCCTCTTCAACAACAAGCAACAGTCAGTTTGCCTCCGGTCACGGCCGAAGAGCTTGGGGTTGTTGGCTGACATCTCGCTAGAAAACACTCTGTCGCCCTCTGGCTAACGTCCAGGTTGTGGCAACGTCGCTTGAAGATTTACGCTCCTAACCGGCGCCGGTGGCGCCGTGGCATCTTGACTCATGTAACTTTTCATTATGCTCCGATCGCAGCCAACGCTGACGACTCCGTCTCGATCACGGGTCCAGTGTAAACCTTCCTGCCTCTGAAAAAGTAATACAAAGCGCCCCCTCCAACCCAACCAGCCAGCACCACGGTCGAATAATTCATATTCTGAGCGGTCACTGGCTGGAAGTTTGGGAATGTGCTGAAGATCATGGCAAAAATGAGCCACACAATTGCAAGGACGTTGGTGAGAACTCCTCCCAATTTGCCGAGTTTGAAAGGTCCGTACTCGTCTTTGGATAGCTTCACTCTTCCGTAAATGACCATGTAGACGACTGGCAGCAGGTAAGACAGATACATGCCGATGATTGCCATAGATAGAATGGCATTGAAAGCCGTGGTATTCCCGAGATAGATGAAACCCAGCAATCCTTGGAGCACTGAGACAAGAACGATCATCCGCACCGGGACTTTGAGCTTGCTATCGACATGCGCAAAGTATTTCGCAAAGGGAGTCGCCTCATCTCGTGCAAAAGCCCAGAATGTACGGCTCGTCGATGTCAGACCTGCAGCATTTGCAGCAGTGGCGATCAGACATATTACCAACGACAGAATGGTTGCTCCGGCAGGGGATTTGGTGACATTGAGATATAATTGCATGAAGGGAAAGCCAGTTGGCGATTCGAGGAGGCTTGGTAGATCACCAAGAGAGAACAGGAGCATCAGGCAATATGCGAATCCGATGATGCCGTTGGCGACGACAGAACCGACCATGGCGATTGGCACATTGCGACTTGGCCTGGGCATTTCTTCGGAAAGATGTGCAGCTGCATCATACCTGCATCACCATCTGGGTCAGTGGATGACAACTGGAGAACGAGAAGAAAAGACATACCCGAGAAATGGATAGACTGAGCTGAGGAGCCCAATGAGCCATGCAACTCCATCACTACTCCAGCCACTAGAATTCGACACCTGGGCAAACACATAATCGGCAGAGTGTTTGGGCGCCATGACCCCAAGCACGATGAAGATGGCGACGAAACCGAGGATATGCAAGACGCCTAGGGATGTTAGAAGTGTAGCCAAGCAGGAGTATTTGCGTTCATGCTCACCAGAGGCGAGGTTGGTATGAGGTAGGATCTTCGACCCCCAGATATTTACCGCTGCAGCATAGAGCAAGACGAGCCAGTAAAACAACATTCCCTGCCATCGTTGGGGGACATATGTGTCGGGATGATTCAGTGTGATCAAGGCTTGAAACTGGAGGCCAGCTGCAAAGGCTGCGGATGCAGTCAGGACGATTTGACCTCCAACAGAGATCCATCCCGTGAACCAGGACGCGACGACTCTCGAGCCTCGTGGTGCGAGGACAGCGACCCAATGATATTGGCCTGGTGAATGTCAGTCGCGTCTCGTGGTGCTGGAGGAATGGAGCCTTCTTTACCTCCCGCCGTCGGCCAGATGCTGGAGATCTCAGCAAGTGAGAGGGCAATCGCCACGGTGCCCGCGAAGGATATAATGCTTTGGTTCTGTCAGTTGAAGCCAGTGGGACAAATGTCGAGACTCATCCGTCGAAACATACTAGTTGTAAAAGAGACAAGGTGCACCACCACTGATCAAGGCGGCAGCAACAACTGATGACAGTGCCTCCCACGTGGCCATCAAGCAGAGACACAAGGAGCCAAGAGACCATATCGAGAAATCCCGCTGCAGCTCCTGCTTGTGGCCCAGGGCAGCGAGCAACTGTTCGTCATTGAGCGACCGCCTGTTGACCGGTGGCACAGTCTCCACTTCCTCTTTCCTCTTTGCCAGCTTTTCGATATCCATTCTGCCTGGGAGCGTTTGGGGTGCCTCGAATGGACACAGTCCCACCACCTGGGGCCCCAAGCAGTCTTAAATGCTTCATCCCGATAGACACGACCCCGGATGAATGAGAGCACCAGTGATTAGGCATATCCGCATCTCTTGGCCTCGTGGATCTGGGGTATTACCCACCACGGAGAAACGGGTTGACACGCGGCTACATTCCTCGCACACGAGGCCAGTAACGACGCAACGTTACGTAAATCGATGGTATTTCCATTCTCATAGCAGTCACCCTGAGTTGGAAGGATGTGTAGCTAGGCGACTCCGAGTCTAGACCGGTTTGAAGACGTCTCCCAGCGGAACAGAAGAGGAGGGTGGAGGATGTTGATCTGTCGAAGGTGCGCGGAGGGCGATTCCGCTGTGCTGGGACGACAATCCACTATAGCCAATCAGGACGAATTGCGCAAACCCTAAATGTACCGTCCTGGAAATTCCTCCGCCTTTGGCTTTTTTGAATCTCGACTCCGTTTCACTATGCAACTTCCCTCGTCGACCCGTCTAATGAGCGAGCGAGCATGTGTCTTTATCTCTTGGTCGATGTGACGAAGCGGATGACCTGCTTACTATTCGCCCGAGATATACCGTCCCAAGGAGACGCCAGCGGCCGCTCTTTGTCATGCCGTACATTCACGACGTACTCATCATCCGAATTAGGAAACCGCAGCCGAACTTGCCCTGCTACAAACAGTACACTGTGCAGGTATTTCTTCGGACGACATCTATCATGGCGCGCTTTGCCGTCAAGATACAAGCTTGGCATGTTCGAGTCAGCAGGGTTCTGGCTTCGAAGACTCTTTCCTTTCAGAAGGTAGATAGATAAGGGAGGGCCCTGCGGATCCATCGGTCTCTGGTACAAGTTGGTCTTGGGTCTATAAAAGCCGGCACTCGATGTCACTGTGTGTTCCAGTGTGTCTTCTATCTTTCTTCCCTGGTTGACCTTTGTCTCTCTCACACCATGGCACCTCATCCACTGGACATCCTCTCAGCTGACGAGACCAACAGTGCTCGTGATCTCATTCTTGGTCTTCATCCCGACGCTGTGCTGAGCTTTCGAGAGATCTACTTGGAAGAACCGCCCAAAGAGCAGCTCATTAAATACTTGACGGCGGAGCACTCTGGAAAGGCTGCTGCTCCCCTACCTCGACGTGCCCTAGTACAGTACGATGTCATTGGCGCCGACAGAATACCCCAATTCCATGAGGGTGTTGTCGATCTCGACGAACAAAAAAGGATCTCACATGTTGTGGTCGACAAGACTCAGCATGCGAGCCTGACACTGTATGTACATAATGTGATAGTTGGAGGTCTGGCCACTAATAATGTTGATTGCCAGCTCCGAGTTTGACACGCTTGTCGAGGTCTGCACAGCCTCTCAGATGTTCAAAGACGTCTGCGCCGAGTTTTCACTTCCGGAAGGCTTTGAAGTCGTTGTCGAACCTTGGCCGTATGGTGGGTTGTCTCCCGACGAGGAGAACCGCCGCTACTTTCAAGGCCTATGCTTTGCTCGAGACACGAGGTCTGGCAACCCGGACTCGAACTTTTACGCTTATCCTTTACCTTTCATCCCTGTCATGGACGCACACAAAAAAGAAATCATTCGTATTGATCGACTTGGGACTGGTGGCAAGGGAGATGCTCTGGACGCAAAGACACACACCAAGAACGTCATCGACCATTGCAAGACCTCAGAATATGTCCCGGAGCTCTTGAAAAATGGCACACGGAAGAATCTCAAGCCTCTCAACGTCCTGCAACCAGAAGGTCCATCCTTCTCTGTTGATGGAGGATTGATCGAATGGCAAAATTGGAGATTCCGAGTGAGCTTCAACCCGAGAGAAGGTGCGGTCGTTCACGACGTCCATTTTGCCGGCAGAAGCGTGATCCACAGGCTGAGCATTAGCGAGATGACTGTCCCTTATGCTGATCCCCGCCCGCCTTTCCCCCGCAAGCAGGCGTTCGACTTTGGGGACGGTGGAGCAGGAAACTGCGCCAACAACCTCTCCCTGGGGTGTGACTGCCTTGGGGTTATAAAATACTTCGATGGCATCGTCACCGGACCAGATGGTACGGCCAAAACTGCACCTAACGTCATATGTCTCCATGAACAAGATAACGGTATCGGCTGGAAGCACACGAACTGGCGGACAGGACGTGCTGTTGTGACCCGGAATCGGGAGCTTGTCGTCCAGTTCATCATTACCCTGGCAAACTACGAATACATCTTCGCATACAAGTTTGACCAGGCAGGTGGGATCACCGTTGAGACCCGGGCAACAGGCATTGTGTCGGTCGTCAACATCGATCCAGGCAAGACCAGTCCATATGGGAATGTCGTGTCACCTGGAGCATTGGCACAGAACCATCAGCATGTTTTCTGTGTCCGCATCGATCCGGCCATCGACGGATACAAGAACACAGTGCTGGCAGAAGAGTCGCATCGCGTGCCGATGAACAAGGCGACGAACCCACAGGGCAACTTTTACGAAGTCCGGCAGACGGTCATCGATCGAAGTCAAAGCCTTGACGCCGCTCCGCAGTACAACCGGATCATCAAGATGGTCAATAAGAGCAAGACTAATCCGGTAAGTGGGAAACCGGTCGGGTACAAATTCACACCAGCGGCCACACAACTGCTGCTCGCGGACCCGGATTCCGTCCAATCTAAACGAGCACTGTTCGCACAACACCACGTCTGGGTGACCAAACACCTCGACGGCGAGTTTTACGCAGGTGGCAGATATACGCTGCAGAGTCAAAACGAAATCGGAGGTGTCGCTGACGCTGTCAAGCGCGATGAGCCGGTCGAGGACGAAGATGTCGTCGTGTGGAACGTGTTTGGACTCACGCATAACCCTCGAGTTGAGGACTGGCCTGTCATGTAAGTTTATGCATCGCATTTTCTTTCTCTCCCCTCCCATCGGCGATACCAGCGGGACATCTCTAACCGACGTTTCGAAACGTAACAGGCCGGTCGAAATCCACCAACTCCACATCAAGCCCACTGATTTCTTCACCGAGAACCCCGCGATCGACGTCCCGTCAACGAAGAATGAAGCCTCCGTGTTGACAAATGGAAGTGGAGGTGGGGGATCCCGAGATGCTTGCTGTAAGTTGTAGGTGGCATTACAGTCGTGGTGGTCGTGGTTACACAACTGGAAGCGCTTCGATTCTGTACGCAATACCTACATTGAATTGAATTTCAACCGTTCTTCCGGGGTGAAAGGTCACTGAATAGATATCTGACGATCCTAAAAGCACGCACGGCATGACACCAAAATCTCTATGCAAGTATACGTGATTAGTGGATATCCGATTTTTGGGAAGAGAATACAGGTAGTGCCCTATCGATAATGTGAGTGCTTGGATCCAGTAGTGTCCTTCCTTGTCTGGCTCGCTGGAAAGGAGAATCGGAACCTAGGTACTTGGATACCTACATACATGACACGTGCTTGTACTTGTGCTTGTATTTGTACTCGGTAACTTGCTGACCAACAACCCTCGCGAGGCTGCGCTCATCCAGGGGTCGAGGTTTTGTATCGCTGAAGGAAATTTAACGTTCTAGAAAGTCCCTGGACTATTTTGGACGTCTATTTACAATGTAGCTAAGCCTATCACGCTTATCACGCACGGGTTGTCGTGGGTATAGATATTTCGGACGTACTTTAGGTATATATACCAAAGGATAGTGAGTATTTACAATAGGCGTGACTGTGACCATCAAATGCTACTTTTACTACTACTAATACCACCTCCTGTAACCGCTAGCTCCACATTTACTCTCTTGTGCCCGTTCATTTCATGACTGGCCCCGTCGTTGAAGAGGCCTGTTTCTAGCTCAGGAAAAACGTCTTGACGGCCCGCGGCTCTATCGTCGCCTCGAACACGGCGCCGCCAACCTGCGTCTGTCCCACCATGGTGACATTGTGCTGGTTGTCGGTCAGATACGCCGTGGCCGTGGAGGCGTTGACGCCGCTCAAGTCGATAGTCAGCTGGTAGGGGAAATGGGCCTCGTTGATGACGGGGATGGCCACGGTGCCGTTCGTGTTGACGTACGCACTGACATAGACGTTTTCGGCGCTGCTCGTCGCCCCGATGCGCACGGAGCCTGGGCGCGCGAAGCGGAAGTACGATGCAAATGCCCACAGTCGCGCCGATACGAAGTAGCTGTCGTGGTTGAGCCGGATCAGCGCGTTGTCGTTGGTCGTGTTCTGCGCACACCACCAGTGCGTGTAGCCCGACGTGTCGGAGTTGACAAAGGCGTTGTGCATGTACATTGCCCATTGGAATCCCTCGCTTTTGCACAAAGTCAATAGGGATTCAACTGGAGAATTCTGGCAAGAGTTTCAACTTACGCGAGTTGTCCAGATACATCCCAGTTGGCATTCCATGGTCCCGAACCCTGCAAAGGTCAGTCAGTCTTGGGTTTCGACTAGAATGATCTCCTTTTCTTACATCAGCCCACTCGGTCATCAAATTTGGCTTTCCGTTCGAGTTGAACGGTCTTTCTGGATTGCTCTGGTAGTTGTGCCATGTCTGTGTCCATCAGTTTTTCTCCCTTGACCACATGTGGGTAGGAACTCACGGCAACATCGAACAGGTCAGCTCCGCCAGCCTGTTGCAGTTCATACAAAATATTTCTCTCCTGTCGGGCACCAGTCGCATCACAACACGAAACACTGATGTTAGGAAACGCCGCCTTTGCTGTCGGATACAAGAACTCCAGAAAGTCCTTTGCCTGGTAGCCGTCCGACTCCATAGAGGCGTAAGTGACGGGGTTGAAGTCCGGTTCATTGTAGGCACCAAGCAGCGAGACTTCGATGCCTTCCTGCTCGTAGAATTTGACGTATTGCACCAAATAGTCGGCATATGCTTGTCTCCAATCGCCGCTGCAGTTGGTGCTGCCTCTAACACCGCAGATGAGACCGCCTTCGTCCTCGGTGCCAACCGTCTTCATACATCCAGGAGCTGACCATGCATCGGCATATACATAGACGTTGGGGTTGTACTTGAGCGCCGTCTGTGTGAGTTGCAGCTGGCATGTGTCATTTCTGTCCCAGACATAGTTGAATGGTCCTTCTGGCGTCGGCGGACAAACTGGCAGGATGGATGCGACGTCGCCAGGGACATGGCCTGGAGTCGAGCCGATGTCATTTCGAACAATCGACAATCCTCCAATGTTCTCGTCAAAGAGGATCTGGGTGACAATTTCCTGGTTGGCCGGAGACAGTCCCACAGACCCAAATTGGTGACATGCGATACCAAATGCGCCGGAACATCCACCTCCTATCATCGTCTGATATGTCTGGAGTGCATTGATCGAGATTGCCGCCGAGTAGGTGATGTTTGGGGCGTAGGTCCAGGCAGAGGCGCCAGCGGCAAAGACAGTGACGACGAGGTTCCTCATTTTTGCTCCTTGATCTTGTCGACGATCGTCTGGCCAAGCAAGGTCCAATGCAGGTACAACATATGTACTTTTTCGTCTCCCCGCACACATCACCCCGTACAGATCGTAAAGGCACCAGATCGTCTTTTACCCGGGGTGTTTTCATCGGTAGCATTTACCCGGCGGCCATTCTCCGACCTGCCACCAGCTGTCACGCATGCTAACCTGTCACTGTCGCTCAAGTCCATCCTTCCTCTCGCTTGCATGCATACAATGTTGCAGAAATATGACGACAACCGGTCATATAAACCGGAAATCCTGGGGACTTGTGGGAGTTTCTGCTGTATTCATTTTCTCCGCAATCGGAGTTTTTAGCCAATTTGCTGCAGCCCATGAATAATGCCGTAGGATCCAACCCTTGCAGAAGTCGGTGTAATGGCAAAATGAAGCGTTCGTTGGAATTAGATGACTTCAAAGAGCAACGAGGACGATGGGTAAATGGCAGAATCTTGGGAAAAGGCCACATTATTTGCCGATGGCATCCGAGTTGCCGGAGCATTCGAGGTTCAGGCCAAGGTCCTCACTGACCATGCAAGATGAAAGATGATCTGAGTGCATAGAGAAAGCGGTGACACTGTCTTCGCAGGCTGTTTTCCACGGCTAAAACGGATTGTATGGTCATTCCACCTTAAAAGTGCGGCGGTATTATCGAGTTTTGATGCTGATAAGGGCATCGAAGATTCGGTTCATATGATTTAGTCATGTTAGCGAATCGCCAGTCAGACCATGTCGTAGATTGATTCATGCAAGCACTCTGTCGTCTCTGGGTGTAAAATTGACTCTGCAGGGTCTGAGGCATTAACCGAACATCTTGCTTAACTTCATCTGGAGCAGTGGTTGGGTGGGCGCAGCTCATATCTCGCAGTGAAGGAGTCAAGACGACTCTTTGGTGCAGAATCAGGCTGCAAGCTTTCGAAGTCTGTACGTGGAAACTGAGTCGGAGGGGATTCAAGCACGCCTTGTCGGTCGCCTTGCCTTGATTTCAACGGTAATGTCCCTTTGGGCAGACCTTGCATCTTCTCGGCTGAGGGTATTGATCATACTGGGTAGTGAAGCTCTTCAATGGTTACCTAACGACGTTGCGAAGGGCGGCAGGAAGTCATAATGTCAAGAAGCCATCCAATTCTTTAGTGGCCGTGGAGGGGTTTTGCAGATGACCCAGGCTCATCTAGTTACTCCATTGCAGATAGACGGCCCGAGTCCGTCGTCGACAAGCACAGCAAATCGTCAGAGCGTCAAGAGGGTACTGTCTGTTCGATGTTTTGTGAACTAGGCCATTGAGTGATGTTGCCTCGTTGGCATCGGAAGCGCGAAAGTACTCGCGATTCACTTTAACCTGCAATATTAGTAGGTATTCTCTCATAAATAACGACGCCACTCACCTCTTTACCTGTACTCGAAGGGGTGGACTAGAATGGTTGATTAATCAAGATCGAATTTGTTCATGGACAATGAGGTTGACATTTCCGACGAGGGCAGATTTCCTGGTCCGCGGCCGATCTCCGAAAAGAGGCACCAACTGCGTCTGCGTCTTGGTATCAGCGAGGAATCATCATCCGTTCAGAAACCACAAAACCTACCATCATCTGCGATTTCTCCCTGGTGTCCAACCTCACGAAGAACAAACCCAACCATGCAACATGCCCCAATCAATTTGTTGCCACTTGTCTGCTCGCAACACCATATGTGGGGTAAAGGTCGAGCATGGCCCCATGAGCGAGCGCAGAACGCGCTGTTGCTCCTCATCGAAAGCAGCTCGCTTGCAGGGCTGAACAGCCCGCGCAGTCTAAACGAAAGTGCGATCTGCGGCCTCTTCGCCCGGAAGAATTGTCGGCTTCCGCTCCAGCAGAGTTCTCTCGAACACCATCACCGATGACCAGAATCTGCGTTGAATTGGGGAAATGCCAACACCGCCAATCTTCCCCAAACCATCTGCTTCTGGGAGACCGACAAGCCCCACTGTCAGGCTGTGCAGCGAGTTGGACGCGTCGAGCCTGAGCCCTCTTTTGAGATGGCGGACCTTGGGTGGAAGTTCATATATGAAGAGATTTCGAGGTGATGAGCTTGTAGGCGCTGAAGACCTTCTGAGAGCGGCGGCATTATCTCGCTTCCCGTGCTACACGACATCAACATGGGTGAATGGCCGCTTTGGTCGTTTTGTGCGCAGCATCCCGTCTTTGGGATTGCTTTACTGGGTACCCTGGTCCTTGTTGCAACCTGGAGACTGAATGAATATGTCAAGGCTCGAAAATACAGATTCCCGCCTCGGATACCGGGGGTACCGATCTTCGGCAACACTTTTCAACTACCTCCTTTGAAGCAGGGACTATGGGGCATGGAAATGGCAAAGAAATACGGGGAGATGTAAGTAACCGGAACCCAACGATGAATATCTGACAAGGCTGAACTGTGGTCAGGTTCACTTGTAGTATTGGCGGTAAGACATGGGTCTTTCTGAATTCGTCACGCACCGTCAACGACTTGATGGAGAAGCGGTCATCCATCTACTCTTCGCGTCAATACATGCCCATGGCGTCGGGCGTTCTCTCGGGCGACAATCGAGTCCTGCTCATGCCATACGGGGAACGGTGGCGGATGATCCGACGCATCATGCACTCGATCCTGAACAAGCAAAACTCGCCCGTCTTCGCGCCCTTCCAAGACATAGAATCCAAGCATCTCCTGTACGACTTTCTCCACCATCCGGAGTTGTGGTACTCGGCCACCCAGCGTTTCGCCAATTCGGTCATCATGAGCGTGGTATTTGGCAAGCGCATGGAGCTGGAAGATCCCAAGATACGAGAACTCTTTGAGACATCCAACGCCGTCATCGAGGCGATTCAGCCTTCGGCCAATCTCGTCGACTCCCTAACCTTCCTGGAAAGACTTCCCAAGAGCTTGCAATGGTGGCGGCCGAGAGGGGAGGCCATGTTTCAAAAGACTGTCAAGTAAGCTGGCCCAAAAACATCATTTAAGGCTGCAACTGACCGGGGCTACAGCATCTACAGGCGGGAGGTCGAGGAATTGGAGCAGAAGATGAAAAACGGGACCGCACGGGATTGCTTCGCCACGAGGTTTCTCCGCGACCCCGAGACCAAGAACTACGGGCAGACGCAGACGTACTTTGCACTGGGGTCTCTGATGGAGGCTGGGAGCGATACTTCTCGCATGACCATCAGCCAGGTCATGGCCGCCGCGGTCCTCGACAAGCGATGGGTCGACACCGCGCGGGAAGCCCTCGACCGAGTCTGCGGGAGGAATGCCGAACGCCTACCAACTTTCGAGGACCGGGTCGACCTGCCCTACATCACGGCGACGGTCAAAGAGGCGTTCCGATGGCGCCCGTTCGCCGAGATTGGAGTGCCGCACATGCTCATCCAGGACGACGAGTACGAAGGCTACCGGTTCCCCGCGGGGACATTGTTCACGTGGAACGCTACAGCCATTGCGATGGACCCGCGCGAGTACGAGCAACCGGAGCGGTTCTGGCCTGAGCGATTCCTCAACAACAACCTGGACCATGTTTTGAAGGGGCACTGGAGCTTTGGACCAGGTATGTTGAACATTCTGTTTCTTCTCCTTCTGGCAATCTTGCAGGGAATCTACAGAGGTGATACTAATAAATCACCCGTTCGGCGGTTTTATCCAGGGCGGCGTGTATGTTCGGGATACAATGTTGGAGAGACAAATGTCTGGATCGTGGTGGCACGACTTCTCTACTGTTTCGACTTTGAGGCCGTTCCAGTGAGTTTCTATCTTCATCACCGAGAGCACTCTCTAACTACCTCCCACTACCTCTATGATTTCTCCTGCGTCTGCGAACGAAACTAATCAAAACTTCCAGGGAAAGCCAATCGACTCGTTCCAGGTCAATTGGGGGGAACATCGATTCGCGCCGTTTGACGTCTCGATCAGAGTTCGAAGTCCTCAACACGCGGCATTGATTGAGAGAGAGGGAAGAGCTGCCGTAGCCACAAAGTACTGACTGAGTAACTAAGTCCTCGCAGACTTTTCCTCCTTTCGTCTCTTGCTGGCTGTTGTGGCTGCTCTGCGTAAAGTGGTTCACGTTGGAGTTGGAGTAAAGACTGGATAGCATAGGAGAGAATAGACTCCATCATTCATTCATCCATCCATCCATCCTTGGCTCGGGACGAACAAGTGATAGACAGAACCCTCACCCCACATAATTCATTCACGATTCATTGGATGTCCCCTATTTTCCTATTTCATCCTCTGTGGAGGGGGGACTTGAACCCCACACGACGCAACAACTACGCAACACATGGGGAACCTCACTCACTGCTGTCTGTGAACGGGGTCGTGTACCTAGCTATGTAAAAAGACACGGCGAGGGGAATACTTGTATTGCCGGGCCCTTGACACAAACCCGTCTCCTGAGATCCCACCCTCCAACATGTTAGATTACCCTGGACTCTGACAGTTGACCCCGAAGGCATTTCCTCTTGGTCTTAACTCTGGTATGTTTCTAGAGGAATCTACTCGTATGACCAATCAGCAACCCACCAAACCTTTTTCGAGTCTTCTCCTCCTGCTGCAAGGCAACAGTAATAGTTCTTTCGTGGGGCTTTTCTTTCGAGTTACAGCCTCGGCGGTGGTCCCACCAATTGCCCCAAAAACACCTGAGAGCAATAAATAACGAAGGATAAGAGTGGAACACCAAGAAAGGAATACGATATACATAGGGTATTCATTTCCCAGATTCTTTGGGGAAGTGGTAGAAAATCATCACGACTACCACGAATACCACGAATAGGCGCGCTGGGACGGTGGGAAAGTCATCTCTCTACAAAAAACTCGGTACCATGGGAAAACAAACCCCTGTCAACAAGGTGGGTTAACCACTCAAGTGGCAGGGCTGGCCTGTTTCCCTGCCCGCATTCATCTTGCTGACGAGTCGCATACATGTCCAGGTCGTCATCGTCGGCGCTGGCCCGTCGGGATTGTTGCTGGGGATCCTGCTCGCAAAGCAGGGGGTCAAAGTACAAATCCTCGAGGCGGCTGGAGAACTGGACAAGAATCCCAGGGCGGCTCACTATGCCCCGTCGGCAGTGTACGAACTACATCGAGCGGGAGTTCTCGACGACGTGAAGGCCCAAGGCATCCATCCCGATGCGGTGTGCTGGCGCCATCCTGACGGCACCTTCATCGCGGGCATTCGAAGTCGGTTCGACATAGAATTCCCCATGGTTTGCCTGCCTCTGGATCAGCTCGATGTCCTCCTCCTGCGACATTTTCTGGCTCAACCAGATACCGAGGTTTTGTGGAACCATAAAGTCGTCTCCATCGAACAGGACGACAACGAGGCCAGGGTCCACGTCGAATCTCCGGTGGGGAAGAGGACGTTTGGCGCCGACTACATCGTCGGATGTGATGGGGCAAACAGCCAGATCAGGCGCTCACTTTTCGGTGATCTGAATTATCCCGGGGAGACCCTACAGAAACAGATCATTGCCACCAATGTGAGTTCATCAAACTGGACAAAACGCAAGAGACTGACATCCCTTAAAGGTATATTACGACTTCCATAAATTCGGGTACTGGGACTCGAATTTCATCATCGACGAAAACGACTGGTACATGGCGGCTCGAATCACCCAAGATGGACTGTGGAGGGTAACGTATGGCGACGTATGGGGCCTGTCGAACGAAGAGTACCTTGCAAGACAACCCGAGCGGTACGAGAAAATCCTGCCTGGACATCCGAAACCGGGAGATTATAAGCTCGTCAGCGCCAGTCCGTACAAGCTACATCAACGATGCGCCGAGTCTTTTCGGGTAGGAAGATTCTTGCTCGCCGCCGACGCTGCTCATCTATGCAACCCATTGTAAGTCCTCTGGCTCAGCAAACGATTCAAGCTGACAAGTCGGTTGAAGCGGTGGGTTGGGCCTAACTGGGGGAATTGCTGACGTAGGGAGCTTGTTCGATGCTCTCGTGGCGTTGAAGGACGGAAAAGCAGACGATAGCATTCTCGACAAGTATAGTGAAGTCCGGCGCAAGAAATGGGCCGAGATCATCGATCCCATGTCACGAGCCAATTTCCGACGCGTTTGTCTAGACGAGGCCGAGTCGGAGAGACAAGAGTTCTGGGAACTTTGTAAGAAGATGGAAGAGGATGAGGAATTGGCTCGGCAGATGGCACAGGTGAGTGAGGTATGACTTTATGAGCGTATGATCGCCATGCTGACGCCTAACAGGGAACGAATATACTGCGAGAGGATTTTCGAGAGTATTTGACGGCGAGTGCAGCGTAGGCAGAATCAACGAGGTCAACGAATATGTCGACAATCGTTGGATAGATCATCGCAAGAAGTGATAGTCCTGGTATTTTAGCGAATAATATAGCCGGGGCAGACTGCAAGGAAGACTTAAACCTCATTTTACAGTTATAAACATCGATCCAAAGCGATTCCAAACGCTCTCGGCTCGTGGGTGCTGGTAAGGATGTTTGGCGGGTTGGCTTCTGTGTCACCTGGAGAAAAGCCCGCATTGGCTGGAAATAGGAGCCGGTGAACATCTAAAGGGCAAGACAGCGACGCTGACCGAACCACCAGAATACATCAAGGCATTCTGTGAGCATCGCTGAGACCGTTAGAATCGCAGCAGAGTAGAGTGGACGTCCTCTAGCCTCTAGTAAGGGGATAGTACAAGTAGAAAGGGGATATTATTATGCGCAGCGGTGTTTCCGTGGTCGACTGAACCTGTCGTCATTGCTTGGCGGAGATGGACTGCCACTACTGTCCCCTCAGGTTCGCTCCCTCGAGCCTCGAGTGGAGTTGGTGGTAAAGAGGATGCCTGCAACATCTTATTCGTTCTGCAACACAAATCTGGATCGCGGACACCCATCGAATCTGACATTGTTGTTCTTCATTGCATTGTTTTGTCTCTAGCAAGCCGCATTTTGATGTCTGCGGATTGAGGGTCGTTCTTCGTCTCCGCAGTTTTGCGCATCTGGCCCTTCACCGACATCAATGCGATTGCTATCTCAATCGAGCCCATCACTACCAACTTCAGCAACGACCGATTGACCTCATTCTTCCCCCCACCGCACACTCAGTACCAAACTCTGACAGATTCCTCGAGATTGACAGCCATTCGCCTTTTCGTCGAGTCCTACTTCCAGAGTCGGTCGGCACATCTATCCGGAGTACCATAGTTTACAAGCAAGAGCTGGCATACACTCCTTTTGGTGGCAGGACAGGGGAGGATGGCAGACTTTACACTCGTGCCCAGTGGGCATGGCAGTAACTACACTGGCATGTTGACAAGGAGCATCGCCTTTTCTGGAGCTCTTTTCGTCTTCCTTGCAGGCATGCGCATCTCAATCCATTGATCCCAAGTATGATGCAACTGACCATTGACTTAGCGTCAGGAATGACGATTGCATCAATCGCTATCCCCGACTGGATAGCATTTGATGGGAGCACAGTGAGTGGATGTGCCTGGATACAAGGTTGTGTCTCACTGGTAAACAGAATCACGGAACCTCGATACGATATAGCTACGGCCTACATCGAAGATGTTCAAATACAAACCTCCCTCCTTCAAATATCACATACACTTCCGCCTCCAATTGGCATTGCACACAATTTCCCCGGTACGAAGACTGCCGGGGGGATGACCGATACTTTTGCAGCATGTGGAGGTCGGTAGGCTTTTTAATGTCCTTTGCAGTGGTGCTGGAGGGCATGACACTGGCCGCATTTGCCGTCCTGCTTGTGGGTGGGAAGCAGAAGAGAGAACAAGGCTGGGGCGTCTTGACAATATTGGTGGCATTGGCAGCGTTTGTCCAGGCCATTGGAATGGCGTTGATGGTGAGAAATGTCTCGCTCCATGGCGCAACCTGCAACTAATCAGCACAACAGGCATATCTGTACGAGAACGACGAGCGATTTTTTTCCGGCTGGTATCTCGACAAGAGTTGGACCATGTGTACGATTTCATGGAGCTTTGAAGCATTATGTGCGGTTGCTATTACCTTGGCAGCAGTAACACTGCCGAGTGAGGGAGGATACGAACTGATTCCAGATCATGGCTAACCCGGGTCAAAAATGATCCGGAGACGCTAGATGTTGAACAATGTCGGAAGATGTTGTTGCTGAGTATCCTTCGCGCTGGCGGGATTGGATCTGGAATGTCGCCTTGACTGCAAAATATTTGATGTTGTGACCTCGGGCGTTGCGTCTGTGGGGGAATATACACGGGATCCCTAGAAAGCTGTTCGCAACCAGCTGTAATATAGAGAACGAGTTATTGTCGGTACCATGGCTGCATAGAGGCGGTGTTTGAGCATTTGACGGTAATTGCCGTGAAACAAGGCGACCACAAGGAAGCCGGTGCCGGAGGAAACCAACCGAAGTCGAGAACATGTGAATGGATGAAGATGCGGACCAGATAAGCATTGAGAACGGCCCTGGCGTGGCGCCGCTTTTGATTTGCAGCCCAAGGCATGTGATATTCAGATGTGGTTGGATGCCGGATTCCGGGGAGTCTGTGCCTGATTAGGCAGGGATTGGCGAGAGGCTTTAAAAGCGGCCACTTCCCGATGGATACGAGATACGCAAGGAGCCAGAAACGGATTCAAGAATCTGGAGTTTCAATTAGCACCAATGCCATGCAGAGTGTTTTAAATTCACCCATTAATAACCCGTTATCTAATTGGGCAAGGGGTAACTTGACCTTCCTGTTTTTGCTTCTACCTTGCGAGAGCGGCTTAGTTTGGTGCTTGAGTAATCCTGTGTACTTTGAACACCATACGTCAATCGGCCGGTGTCTCGCTCGCATCGGGACAGCCGCAGCCAAAGTTGCGGGAAAGGATTAGGGTGGACAGATGCGATAGGCCCGTGAAGACCCTCAAACCGTCCTCACTCGTATTGTGGGGGCTGTGTGTTGTGTTTACCTAGGTACAATAAGATGTGATGCAACTGACGGGCCGATGATTTATCCGATTCTGCGCATCGCTGGTGTCACGTCGGTGATGGTTATCCCGCAGGAAGATCAGAGCAATTGACCGGCCTCACTGAATCCTCTTTCCGCGAAGGGAAGTAGCTGCACCTTAGTCAACCGCAGAATGTCGGACAGTCTCCTTCATCATGTCAACTCCCGCAAAATGTCAGATGTTCAGAACAAGGTCTCAACGGCTGAGGCCAAGACGGAAAGTCAATAGTCGATCCTTGCAGACTGCTCAGCTTGGGCTCGATCGACCTCCGTCGTGCTTAAATACCGGTGTCTCGCCCTCGGCCTTGTCCAAGCTTGTATCTGCCTGAGTCCGATACAACACTCACTTTCCCTGCTACCCAGACCAGCTCAGAGATCGACAACATGTCGACGCCTATCCCTGCGCCTCCCGGACTTCCGATTCTAGGAAACGTCCTGGACATTGACCCAAACCATGCCAATCAGAGTCTTCTGCACTTGGCCGACACATATGGTGAGTTCCTTGGAACCAACCGCTGGCTAAGACGAAGACTGATCATCGTGCTAACATGCGTCTTGAAGGCCCCATCTTTAAACTGACCACCCTGGGCACTGAAAGATATGTCATCAGCTCGGTCGAACTCCTCAATGAGGTCTGCGATGAAAAGCGCTTCTGCAAGGCTGTGTCTGGTGCACTGCAACAAGTACGAAATGGAGCAGGAAATGGTCTCTTTACTGCCTACCCTGGTGAACATGACTGGGAGGTGGCTCACCGAGTTCTCGTGCCTGCATTCGGTCCGATCGGTATTCACGATATGTGTATGGTCTTCTCTCCTGCTTCTCTAAATCGTGCTGATGTGTGTAGACGACGAGATGTACGACATTGGCACCCAGTTGATTGCAAAGTGGGCGCGTGGTGGCCCTGAGCAGAAGATTGCAGCTACGGATGACTTTACTCGACTGACCTTGGACTCTATTGCCCTGTGTGTCATGGATAAGCGCTTCAATTCCTTCTACTCGGAGAAGCTTCACCCCTTCGTGGACGCAATGGTGGGTTTCTTGCTGGAGTCCGGGCGCCGGACTCAACGCACCAGAATTGGGTCATTACTCAACAGATCAGTCGAACGTCAGTACTATCAAGATATCGACACCATGAGGACCGTCGCCAAGGAGATGGTCGATCACCGCAGAGCAAACCCGGTCGATAAGAAGGACTTGCTCAATGCGATGCTGTTCGGCAAGGACCCAAAAACGGGAGAGAGGATGACAGATGATAGTATCATCAACAACATCATCACTTTCCTCATTGCGGGACACGAAACGACCTCGGGGCTTCTTTCATTTGCCTTCTACCAGCTTTGCAAGAACCCTGAAGCAATGCGAAAAGCTCAAGAGGAAGTCGATTCAGTGGTCGGCAAGGGTCCGGTGACGGTCCAGCACCTGACGAAATTACCTTATATCGAGGCCGTCATGAGAGAAACCCTCCGACTCAACCCTACAGCTCCCGCGTTTGCCCTCAAACCACTGGACACAGTGGCTGGGCCCGTGGTGCTTGCTGGGAAATACACCATTCCTCCGGGCTCCCCCATCATTGCCCTCCTTACAAAAGCCCACCGTGATCCTGTCGTCTATGGCGCGGATGCCGAGGAGTTCAAGCCAGAAAGAATGTATGGAGAGAACTTTACAAAGCTGCCACCCAACTCTTGGAAGGTAAGTTTGAATCTATCCACTGAGTAACGAATATTTTGCTAATTGGATGCAAGCCATTCGGAAACGGCGCTCGTGGATGCATTGGGCGCCCTTTCGCATGGCAAGAAGCCATCCTGGCTATCGCTCTTATTCTCCAAAACTTCAACGTCAGATTGGATGATCCATCGTATCAGCTGCAAATCAAGCAGACCTTGACCGTCAAGCCAGACAACCTGTTCTTACGAGCCACTCTGCGTGAAGGTATCGATCCAGTGACATTGGAGAGAAAACTGTACGCAGGTGTCCAAACCGAAGACGCTCATCACAAGGAACGCAGTGCGTTGGCCAAGAAAGTGGGTGGCGTGGGCAAGCCAATGCTCATACTTTACGGGTCTAACTCGGGCACCTGTGAAGGACTGGCACAAGGTCTTGCCAACAGCGCAGGAAATCGAGGCTTCAATGCTTCAGTAAAGCCTCTGGATGCTGCTGTCGAACACCTACCAAGCGACCAACCCGTCATAATCATCACTGCGAGCTACGAGGGCAATCCTCCCGACAATGCCGCGGGGTTTGTGGAATGGCTCAAGACGGTGGATGCTGACAAGGTCAAGAACGTGCAATTTGCTGTCTTCGGCTGTGGCCATCACGACTGGGTCACCACCTTTCAAAAAATCCCCAAACTGATTGACTCCAAATTGGCCGCTAAAGGAGCAAAACAAATCGTGGAGCGTGGACAATCCGATGTCGCCGAGGGCAAAGTGTTTGACGACTTTGACATGTGGCAAGATGAGAATCTCTGGCGTGCTCTATCTGCTGATGGAGGTTCTGACGAGATCGCGGAAGCTCTAAACATGGAGATCAGCACCAGTGCTCGTGCTTCACATCTCCGGCATAATGTGCAGGATGCATTGGTTCTGGAGAACGAGCTGTTGACCGATCCCTCCATTCCAGAGAAACGACACACCGAGTTCCAGTTACCAACCAACATGACGTATGAAGCAGGAGACTATCTTGCGCTGCTGCCAGTCAACAACATGAAAACAATCTCAAGGGTGCTCCGCCGGTTCGGGTTGCCATGGGATGCCATCATGACACTGGCCAAAGGTGCACATACCACAATTCCAACAGCAACACCCATTGCAATCACGGGGGTGTTGGCTGCATACGTGGAACTGAGCAATCCGGCCAGCCGTAAACACATTGCAACTCTCGGCAAGTACACCAAAGATGAATCTGTCCGCAAAGAGGTCCTGGGCATCACTGAGCCCTTGTCGGTCTTGGAAATCCTGGAGAAATACCCGAGCATCGAGCTCCCCTTTGCTCTCTACCTCGCTATGCTACCACCTATGCGCATTCGACAGTATTCTATCTCATCCTCGCCACTGCATGACCCGACCAAAGTCAGCATCACATACTCCGTGGTCGGTGCTGACACGAACCACATGGGCGTCGCAACAAACTACCTCAAGCTCCTGCAGCCGGGCACACGAGCGCAGTTGATGATCAAGAAATCACACGCGAGCTTCCATCTACCGCTAGACCCCAAAACGCCCATCATCATGGTCTGTGCCGGCACGGGTCTGGCGCCCTTCTTGGGGTTTGTCCAGGAACGTGCCGTTCGCATCGCCGCCGCTGGCGGAAACCGCGACGCTTTTGGCGAGGCCCTCTTGTTCATCGGTTGCCGCTACCATGACAAAGACCGCCTGCACGCCAAACAGCTGGATGTATGGGCCGAGCAGGGGGCTGTCAAGCTGTTCTACGCATTCAGCCGCGAGCCCGAGCGATCGGAGGGGTGCAAATACATACAAGACCGACTCTGGCGTGAGCGCGATACGCTGAGCAAACTGTTTGGCGAGGGCGCCAAAGCGTACATTTGCGGCAATGCCGCACTGGGCAAGGGCATCGCAGACGTCGCCGCAAAGATTGCCGTCGAGGGCGCCAAGAAGGCAGGAAAGGACTTGTCGCACGAAGACGGCCTGAAGTGGTGGAACAAGTTGAGGGGCGAGCGCTATGCGGTCGATGTCTTTGATTGAAGCGGTGATTTGGATAACACCTGGGTATGCTAGGGTGAGATTGTTACGCAAAGCTCGGACGGGAAAAGCCATAGTGCGCCATAACCAACATCAAGTCGTAGTATGTATCAAGCCCGACATGGGAGGGCAGCAGACGGGAATTCCTTCGGGTATTCAGTAATGAGGAATGATATTTGATACAGATTTCCGTCCTAGGAACAAACAACCAATGCTGCTTCACCATATACAAGAGTGGTTTTCTCTCTCTACCACAATAAATGCTGGCGCTGCGTGGTGACTGGGCGATCGGGCAAATGCACCCACATGTTCTTGCCCAGCCTCTTCTTCAGCCGGCGTGCCTCCTTCTCGGCCTTTTCTCTCGTCCTCGTCTTCTCTTCCTTCAACAGCACGGTGAGGCCCGT